TTTCCACAAAAAGAAACCCAAAATTCGCACCTGCCCAGCTCGGCCATCTCCCGAGCGTCCTCCAGTCGTCCGCCGTCGAGACGCCCCCTGCACCCGCACCATCCGCACCTCATCACCGTCCCCGATCGACAACGATCAACGAGGATCCAGCCGCGTGACTCTCACCTCCATCCAGCGCGATCATCTCCGGTTCTATCATCGGCTCACACCATGTCCTCCTCGTCGTCCTCCTCCTCCTCCTCGTCGTAGTCGTGTTGATGATGAACGAGCGGCCAGCAAGCAGCCGCCTCGTTGTCCCCGCAGCGTCGGCGACGTCGCTGTTGCGGCTGCTGGATAGTGGCCGAGACGCGCAGAGACGTGGACGACACGGCAGCAGCCGTCGGCTGCGAGGACGTCGACGAGGAGGACGAGGAGGACGACGAAGAGGACAACGACGCGGACGAAGAGATGGGCGGCTGCTGGAGAGTTGGGTGCTGTTGACGATGATGGGCAGCAGGAAGAACGATGTTGGCCGTGGTCGACGGGCTGTTGTTGACGGCTGCGGAAGCGGCGTAGGCCGCTGCTGCAGCGACTCAGGCCAGGGCGTAGTGGTGGGTAGCGTGGTGTCACAAGCCCGGAGCCGCGGTGACGACGGTGGACGGCGGAGGTGCACTGCTGCTGGCCACGCTGGTCGCGTGATGGTACAGCGGGCTCTGGTAGTACTCCTGATGATGGTGGTTGGTCATGTTGTGCATGGGACCGGCGTTCGAGGCGGTGTGCATGCCGTTGTGATGGTGATGACTCGGCGGCGCGGAGTGCGCGTGAGGATGATGCGGCGAGCCAAAGTTGGCGTAGCTCTGATGCAATTCGTACATCTTCATCTCGGGCGGTTTGATGTCTTGGGCACCTGGAGAGGTGCCCGCCGTCGCGCCTGGCAGTAACCTGGTGATGCTGAAGGGATGGCTGGCGGCGGTGTAGGGTGGTTCTTGTTTCAGACTGCCGGTCATTCCGTGATGGAGAGCCGCGGGTTCGGAGATGAGGTGCGGATGGAGACTTCGACTGACCATGGCGGTGAGTTCGTCGTGGGCTGCGCCCAAGTCGGGCCCGAGGAGGCCACCTATGTCCGTCGCGTCGCTCTTCAGAGCGGCGTGATGCTGATGGAGGGTAGCCGCGTGGTGGTGATGGTGCGAGGAGACCAGGGAATGGAGATCCTTGTCGTCTTGTTGCTGCGGTCCGGGATGCAGAGACGACGGGATCTTCTTACCTGAGGGTGCCTGTTCGTAAGGGATCGGGCTGTTGCGCGCGACGGGTCGGGTCGCGGATGCTCCCGCGGCCGCGACAGCTGCAGGGGTAGGGTGGTGCTGTTGGTGCTTGTTGTTCTGCCTGGTGAGCTCCTTCTTTTCGTCCTTGAACCTCTTCTGCCGACGCAGATAACAGCCGTTCTCGAACATGTTCCCGCTCTCGGGGTGCAGGGTCCAGAAGGACCCTTTGCCCGGCTTGTCCGGGGTTCGCGCCATCTTCACGAAGCAGTCGTTGAAACTGAGCGAATGCCTGATGGAGTTTTGCCAGCGTTGTTGGTTCTGCCGGTAGTAGGGAAACAGGTCCATGATGAACTGGTAGATCTCCGACAGCGTGAGCATCTTGTTGGGCGCGTTCTGGATCGCCATGGTGATCAGGCTGATGTACGAGTAGGGTGGTTTCGCGTGGGCGTAGCCTCGCCGGTAAGACTTGTCGTTTCTGGATCGTTGAAGGGCAGAATTAGGCGAGTCCGGCTCGGTGAGCGAGAGAGGATCACGCGGAACGCCGGCGCTGCCGCTCGGCGTCAGATGACTATACCCGGACCTCATGCACGCACCGCTGCCGTCCATGGACGCGCTGCCATAAGCACCCATGCCACCGCCGCTCATCGAGGCCATCCCCATGGCCGTGCTCATGGTGCTCATGTTGAAACCGCCTGAGCCCTGGGGACTGCAGCTCGGCCCGACTCCGACGCCCATCGACATACCCATAGGCATACATCCTGCCGAGTTGATCGAGCTGTACGTCGGCGCCATGCTGCCCATCGTGGACATCGCGGCGCTGGTCATCGCGCCGCCGAGGCTACCAGCGTCGCCGTATAGCTTGTGCGACTGGAGCATGGTCATAGAGCTAACCGGTGCCGGGGTGGCGGGCTGCTGTATGCTTGTCAAACGAGAATCATGAAAACCGCGGTACCACGGCTGCTGCTGATAATGTGACGCTTCCTTAATCTTCTCCTCTGGCACGAAAATCCCTGACACGTCCTAACAACCTCGTCTCTCGGGACAGTCTCTCACCGCTTTCTCCTTTCTCCACTCCTTGCTACAATCGATTCACCGTGCAACAAAAAGAAACTTCACTTCCGTCCTCAGTCCTCTCCAGCTTGCGTGCAACACGAACCTTCAAAACACAGTCGCGCACTTGCCGAAAATCCGCATTTCTCACAAGATCGTTCTCCCGAAATGCCGATGTCTGCCCCGCGTATTATCACGATCTCCGATACCTCCTGATACAGGCACAAGTATCGTGAAAGTACAACACCGTAGTAGGCTCTGGGGATCAGCCAGCCGCTGCTACTCGAACACACTGTTCCATCGATATCACTCGAAAGCAAACCCGGATACCCGCGATTGTTTAGCCGGTTCTTTCGACAACGCGCCGCGACTGGTGTACGCGATCGGAATCGACGCGCGGGCTGGTCGCGCGGCCAGCAGCAACCACGGGCTGAGAACACACGGCGAGCAACGATCGACGTTGTTTGAGCGGGGTCTGTGTGTTTGAGCCGCCTCACCTCCACTCTCCCTCATTCACCAGTTCGCTGTCTCTCTGTCTCTCTGTGTGCCGTGTGGATGGAGGCCGGTTAGCGAGTGTACTCCGCTACTCTTGAGTCTCCCGATCTTGTTCAAACACGTCCCACTCCGTGTCGCCACCGCCGCGCCTGTTCCGTCCCGGCCGGCCAATAGGCGGCCGCCTCTCTACACCACCCTGCCGCGCCGGCCAATCGCGCGCCGCCGGAGGGCGTCCAACGTGTCCGCTTCGTATCGCGTGAATCGGTGGCGCGATAATGCGAGCCGAGGAACAGGCAGGCCGTCCGACGCGGATCACGAGCGGAGCGCGCAGCTGCGGGAACCGCCGCTTGCGCAATATCCCGCAGGACGCCGGGCCACGGCGCCCGGCCACCACGTCCCGACGGCCGCGTCCCGACGCTCCTCTCATGTCATGTCAACTGTCTGTCTGCCACGCGTTTGACACCTATCGGCGCGCCTCACGCGACGGGCTTGTTTTCTTCTTCTATTTCTTACTCTTCTTCTTATTCTTATTCTTATTTTCACTTTTATTCTTCGTCTTCTTCTTTCGCTTTGCCCACTTTCCTTTCGCTCTTTCTCCTTTTCTCGCCGTTCTTTTTCGTTTCTCTCTTATTTCGACAATTTTCTCCCCTTTTTCTTTGCGAAGCGAGTATTTCACGGAGTTTGCGTTCAGTGAATCGTTGGTTCCCGAAGGTTTGCAATGTTGTGGTGTGGTTCGAGCCCCGTCGTGCTGCTGTCGAAGAGGACGAGGATGGAGCTGCGACGGTATGGAGCATCGACAGGTTCGTGGGTGCTTGTGAAACTAGCTTCCTTATAATTCTTCGGTTCTTTCGATTTTACCCATGGTTCCTCCGTTATTACGTCCATGTCAAAATTAGGCTACACGAATCCCCCTTTACGATATTCTTCCCCATCATGGTTTCAAATTTCGAGAGAAAAATAGGAAAACAGTGAGACGGTTCGCCATTTCGTTCCTATTCGAGTCGATCATAGTCCTTCGAATTGATGATTCGTGAAGAAACAATATTCGCTGGGTCTGTGAGAAGCAGAGAAAAATTACGATAAAAGTGGGATAAAAATGTAGAGAAAGAATTTAGTCCCGTAATTTTGCAACGGTTCGCCGATTTATTTGAGCGAAACAGTGTTCATCGAGTTAGAAGCGGGGTTGTGTGAACAGGAATTAAACGTACCTTGGAATTAATTAACAAACCCGCTCGTTATCGACCCGTGTTCGTCAATTAATGATACGGACGGGTTTAATGGAGGTCCCTTTCAATTTGCCGAATTATAACCTAGAAAATTCTGAAAAGGCGAAAACGCTTGGAATTCCAGCTAGTCGGATCGTTCGTTCCATTTTCTCTTGGAAATCGTTCACGGTGTTCCGTCTCTTCTAGTGTCCCGTTATAATTCGTGCAAACCGAGGGAATCGAGTGCGCAAACACGCGTCGGATATTGAAACTAACGACATCCAGTGACGTACAACGCGTTTCAATTAATGGGACATCCTCTCGAGTCGCGGCGGACCTCGAAGATTCCATAAACCTAAATGATCGTGGAAATCATGCTTGGTCTGCACGACGTCCGATTAGGTCATGGATCTCGTCGCTTTTGATAGTTTTCGTGGAAACGATGGGGAATTTTTTGGGAAAAATGGGGAATTTTTGGTGAGAAATGGGGAATTTTTGGCGAGGAATGGGGAATTTTTGCGGGGACATGGGGAATTTTGGGGGAAAATGGGGAATTTTTTGGAGGAAATGGGAAATGGAGATTTTTGGGAGAAATCGAAGGGTCGAAATTGGTAGTGGAGTAATGTCGAATTGGTAGTGGAATTATTGTAGGATTGGGACACCTCTAGAATCGCTGCGGACTTTGAAGATTCCGTAAACCTAACCGATCGTGGAAATCATGCTTGGTCTGCACGACGTCCGATTAGGTCATGGATCTCGTCGCTTTTGTTAGTTTTCGTGGAAACGATGGGGAATTTTGCGGGGAAATGGGGAATGGGAATTTTTGGGGAAAAATCGAAAGGTCGAAATATAGAGGAGTGGCGAATTGGAAGTGAAATTATTGGAGGATAGAGGAATCGGTGGAGCGGGAATTGTTTGGTTCGTTTAGCTCGGGAATAGATCATTTGAACAAATCCAACAACATAAATATTGAAGCACGGTAAATTACAGGGAGTTTGGACTGGCTCGATCAACTTACATAAGAATGCCGCCGCTTTCATTACCTATGTCAAAGCTAGATAACTCAAACAGTCCCGATAACATTTAATTACAACAACAAATATACACGCATAATATTTATCTATATCCGTGTAACACTGATAACTCTAAACATCCAGCGTAAATTTGTCGATATTTGCGATCGAATTAAGCCTCTTCTACTATAAGTACACTCGAATTCCTTTACGCGGGACAAATTACCGAGTAGCCACTCGTTTTAACAAAAGTCGCTGTTTGTGCTCTTCTGATTGTTCTTCCGTGCTTTCCTTTTTCTTAAATTCTTCGATTTTTCGGGAAGGAATTACAAAATGAAATAAATATTCCCATCTTCGTTGGATAGAAATTTCCTTTAATTGGGAAGCATATGAAAGGATAAGTTTTGCTTCTTAAATATTTGGGTGCTTTTCCAACAGCATTTATAGCTTCCCCTCGTCGATTTCTGTCATTTTTAGAAAAGTAATATTAAACGTGACTTTCCCGAAATGGGAGAAATATTTTTATTTTTGCTAGGTTAAAAATTTCTTTGATCAGAATATTTAAGAATATAGAGGAATAACTTTTGTTCCTCAAAAATTGTATAACGCTTCCTTCCTTCGATTCGAGCCATTTTTAGAAAAGGATCGTTAAATATAATACATACGAAATAATATAAATATTTTTATTGTCGTTAGTTTTAAAATTCCTTTAATTATTGAAAATGTATGGGATTAATTTTTATTTTTCAATAATATTCATAGTGAAACTCGCACACGATACATTTCTAATATCATTCCACTATTTTTCCCTTCAATTCGAATCATATTTGAAAAACGAATGTTAAATACAATGTCTGCGAAACAATACAAATATTTTTATTCTTGTTAAATAGAAAATTCCTTTAATTATTGAACATATATAGGAATAATTTCTATTTCTTAATAATATTCATAGTGAAACACAAACACGATACGTTTCTAATACAATTTCACTATTTTTTCCTTTGATTTGAGTTATTTTTAGAAAAGGAATATTAAATATAATATCTTCAAAATAATATAAATATTTTTATCCTCGTTAGTTTTAAAATTCCTTTAATTATTGAAAATGTATAGGATTAATTTTTATTTTTCAATAATATTCATAGTGAAACTCGCACACGATACATTTCTAATATCATTCCACTATTTTTCCCTTCAATTCGAATCATATTTGAAAATCGAATGTTAAATACAATGTCTACGAAACAATATAAATATTTTTATTCTTGTTAAATAGAAAATTCCTTTAATTATTGAACATATATAGGAATAATTTCTATTTCTTAATAATATTCATAGTGAAACACACACACGATACGTTTCTAATACAATTTCACTATTTTTTCCTTTCATTTGAGTTATTTTTTGAAAAGCAATATTAAATATAATACATCCAAAATAATATAAATATTTTTATCCTCGTTAGTTTTAAAATTCCTTTAATTATTGAAAATGTATGGGATTAATTTTTATTTTTCAATAATATTCATAGTGAAACTCGCACACGATACATTTCTAATACCATTCCACTATTTTTCCTTTCAATTCGAGTCATTTTTAGAAAAGGAATGTTAAATACAATGTCTACGAAATAATATAAATATTTCTATTCTCGTTAAACTGAAAATACTTAGGAATAATTTTTACTTCTTAATAATATTAATAGCGAAACTCACACACGATACGTTTCTAATATCATTCCACTATTTTTCCCTTCAATTCGAATAATTATCGAAAAACGAATATGAAATACCCCTCTAGCCTCGTTAGACAGGAAATTCTTTTAATTAGTAAAAATGCGAAAGAATAATTTCCATTTGCCAGGAACGAAAATTATTTCGGCACACACGGTCTCATGACGGAAAATCGGCAACGTACGCGACCTGAGCATCCGACAATCGAGTTTTGCAATCGAATTTTCCGCTTTTCCGGCGCGTCGCGTCGCTCGATCAGCGCCGATTAATCGTTTATCGCGTCTCGAATAATTAACCGTCCGTGGTCCATGAATATTAAACGCGCGTAATAAAAAGAGATCGAATTTTCGGCGGATAATTCGGTTAGCTTAACTCGATCCAGTCGCGCGGTTTCCTCTGTCGCTCCCTCCGTCGATTCCACGCGTCGCGACGCCTCCAAGCTCGCAAGTCAACCGATTTCCTCGCCGTTAGTTCCCGATTATCCGCCAATTTCC